AATATAGTGACTGTCAATTTTCATCTTCATAAAATTGTTTGACATGAAGAAAAGGTACGGTCGCTGACAATGCTATTACCCACCTCCTATATACTTAAAGCCACCAATAATACAACTAAACATTTGGAAGGTATTTTCAACAATTTCACCTGGTTTTAGTTTTGAAAAATACCTCGAAAAATACCTTGAAAACAGAATGTCATTCTATGGTCCCTTTGAGCAGAACTTCCCCATGTTTTATTATACAGGGTGTTTCATAATTGAATGTCAATATTTGAGGAGGTGATTCTTGAAGCAATTTTAAGAAGGAACTTTCATATGAACGTATGACTTCAACCTCTTAACTTTTGAGATACATGTTGGTAAAATTCCGAAAAATAAAAAGTTTTTTTATTAATATCTGTGATGCCACTTTAGATATTCTAATGAAATTTGGCTTACATGTACTATGTATCAAGAGGCATCAGTTGGTGTACCACTTCATTTTTGTTTTTACCAGTGGCGTTCGTATGGAATTTCACATACCTATTTTGGCAGACATTGATGGTACGCCACTGATTAATTTCGAAATAGAAATCATTCCTGAAGTTCTCAATCATTTCTAAGCAAATTTGATCTCGACAATTTTTTCAATCTGATGCACGGTTTTCGCTCAAAAAAAAATAAAAACCTTTTCACTGCATGATCATAACATCGATAATAATATGACAATATCACAAAGCAGACAACTATATATTTATTTTTAAGGTGAAAACCGTGATTCGTACTGAAACAAGTCAAGCGATCAAACCAAGTGGTATCACATATATTAATAAACAACTATTTATTTTTAAGAACTTTATCACCCTGTATCTCAAAAATTAAGACGTTTAGGTGATACGTTCATATGACATTTTAAAATGGGCCCAAGAATCGCCTCCTTAAATATTGACATTCAATTAGGAAACACCCTGTATATCTGTCAGTTGATTGATTCCAAAATTGATTTATTGTCCAGACAAATTTTGATAATATTCCTACCTATAAATGTATTTTGTCTTCAACAACTATTTGGATACCTATACATTTTGTACCTAATCATAATATGATGACGAATGCGAATAGGTAGGTAATAATTGATAAGTTATAAATGTTTTTTTTTCATTGTCGTTACCTATGCTTCAAAACAAATCAATTCAATTATTTTGCTAACACAGCGCATATTATCTATCATCAGTCCATTCATAACATTACTAAAATACAAATCGCATTTGGTAGTGACAATAAATAAATGTATGTTTATTTTTGATAAGATGTTCATTGCTCGTATCAACATCTTGGGAATCGTTTCTCATCGTAGAAGTCGTCCTTAGATGCAGTGTTGCCATAAGAATTCACTAAACCAAAATAAATATCATTGAAGTTATTTCTTTCACTTTATCAGTTACAAAATTAATAGATGGCTTTGGCAAATTTTCTTGTGATGAAGCTGTTCATTCACTTGGATTTGTTGAATTATTTGATATACTGTTACGGATCGTGAAGTGATGGAACAACACTTTGACATTATTTTGGTAGAAAAATTACGATACTCTACTTTACGAAGCATTTCCTAACCATATTGTCAGATTGGTCACAGTTAATCACGTGATACATTACATTATAGACGCATGCGCATTCACTCGCAGAAAAACTTAATTATTATCAGAGTTAGGTAATTGTGAACAGGCGTAATTGTAAATGCATATTTTCTTGATTGAAAAAAATCACGCCATATTTGCATTTCATCCTCGATTTCATCCTTCCAAAATATCGGTACAAAAGAGCAGTTGGATATACTTCGTATATTATAGTGTCATATTTATAATTTACGTTAATGTGTGAATTTGGAAGGTAAGCATATTTTTGGATGATTCATTAAAAAAAGTAAAGCATAATCTTGATATTTTCGCATGTTTGAACTCATCAGATGAAACTCTGACATCACAGAAAAGAACTGTTTACATTAACCCCTTTCCAAAAATATACATGGGTAATTGTAAACAATGAATTAGGGTAGATGTAAAACAAGTTCGAGTACTGAAAACTCGACTGAAAACCATTTAGTAACAAAATCCGAGGTTCTTTCTGTCGAAATCTTCAAGCTTCCGAATGGGAATCTCATTTAGGCCCAATTTAAGAGGGACAAGAGAAATAATATTGAATACAAATATGTTTGTGTATGTGTGTGTGTGTGTGTTTGAAGATATTGAGCCACATGAAATGGGACTCAAATCAGTTGACAAAACATATACTAATAGTGTTGAAGATTCAAGCTACTCCAGATCAAAATACTCATATGAGTGGACTCTTAACTCTTCCATCAATACATTCGAAAGGCTAAATAATTTGTTACCATATGGTTCCTGAGTAACATGTTTACATTTGCCCCAACTATATGGGGTAAATGTAAAATTTGATGTAAAACAAAAAAATTCTTTTTGAAAAAAGAAATCTATGTTATTTACGACTTTTTACTTGTCTAGTGCATTGATCACAGTATCAGTTATTTCACCTGAAGATAGAAAGCAAAAAAAACCTTTTCAGAGAGTTACAATGAATTTTTCGTCAGGAGGAAATCTTCGAAAGATTTAGACACTTCTGAAAAATGAAAATGTGTAAATTTCTCGGTCAAAATTCATTAGACATCATGCTACCTATTCTCATCAAATCTTTTATTTTTGAATATCAGTATGATAACTCTCTCAATACATCAGGGTATCCCATTCAAAGAATTAAACCTCATTTTCCAAATCGTTGGATCTTTCTGAATTTAGGGCGAATATTTGAAAAACTTAGCCTTGTTGAATCCTCGATGAATTTTCTCCTCACGGAATTTTGACCGTTATTGTTTTTTCCCATGCATAATAACTTGGACACTTTTTCTGTACTCTTCAAGAAGATTCATGTAGATTATGAAATTAAGTATAAGTAATAATATGTAGTAAAATAAAGCTATTATTTATTTAGATTTCATATTTTGTAGTTCTGCTGGAGTTGACTTGTCAGAAGAATGAGGTTTTGATATTTTTTAATCACATCGGCAACGTTGTGCGTGTAGAGCGCCTGACCATCTTGTTGTACTTTCAGTTTCGTACGTTGCCTACAGGTGGCGGCACTTGCTTGATGGATTTGAACTCTAGCTTCTCGCTTCTCCCAGTCCAAAGTCCACATAATAAATTTTAAAGATACAGAGTCATGTTATGGACGAGGTCGAACTTATAAGCTATATCTACTACTATACATGGTGTCCTCTCTAAGGGAGTGGGGGCCGCCTTTGTTGTGGTTGTAGTTTTTGGCTCGATCAGCTGTTTTTTACTTTAGTGTGACCGAATAGTATCATGATACCTTCCTGTGGAACGGTCAGATACCTCTAGCTCTAGATATAGGTACCTATACATCTTAATTTTCATTGAGAACATGTGAGATCTATAGAATAGTGAAAGGTCGCCGACTTTTCTACGTTGTTCTAATGAGATCGAAGAGTTAGTGAGTGTGGCATCACCCACACCAGGCGAATGGCTCTTCTCTGGATAGAATGTATAAGAGCATCAACGCATGTTTGGGTGCTGAACCCCATACACGAGAACAATATTCTAAAACTGCCCGTATCTATGCTTTGTAGATCATGAGAAGCTGTTGAGGTGTGAGACGTTTTGAGCAATAATGAATAGTTTCGACACAAAAAAATCGCCATTTGTGAAAATGTAAAATCTTCTGACACAAACCGAGATCTTACTAGCAGACTTTGATTATATAAATTCACTGGGACACTGGGTCATCACAAATAAGCAGTTATTTCTCGACTCGAGATAATATACCAGGCGAAACAGTAAAACAATCATAGTGAATAACATGAAACAAATAGACAGACTTACTAACTGATACTGCAGATGAACGTGAACGACGTTACCAGGATGCTAAGCTCCTAGCTGTACTCATCAATTTGATAGCTCTTTTTCATGATCTTGTCCTTCGTGATTGTCGAGGTGATTGTAATGCATGAAATGGTAAACATATTTCGTCAGATTAGAAGACGCAATGACAATCCCCGTCATGTCATAGGCTCGCTTATACTGGTCAACTAACGTATAAAAAGGTATTTCGTGGCATATATGACATAGGAAAGTGCTATATTATTCTAGCTGTATCAGAACGCTCATATTCAGTCAGTCAGAATGCGAGCTAAAAAAGGTATGTTCATTAAGAAAAGTCCCTTTTTCGTTAATGTCTTCTATCTCTCTAAATTAATGGACAAAGATCTGGACCACCCTGTATATTGTCCATCGTCATTTTATTGCATTATATTATGGGTATCTATTCTTCGACAAATAGTTACTACATACCCTGAAACTGTTAATTGGATTCTGCCCAAAAAAGGGCATTTCGTCTCGTGGGTGATGCCTCGCTCACAAACTCACTCACTTCTCTGGAACACCGTAGAAAATTGTTTCTCCCTTGGCAGTCCCCGCGAGATTAACCCGTCGAGTTGAGGCTTCGCACCCCTTCGTGGTCACTTTGAAGACCTGCAGAACATCTCTCTCCAAAACCTCGTTCATCCAACGAACAGCGAGGCTCTGGAACACATTGCCAAAGGAGGTGTTCCCCGAGGCATATGACCTCCAGAAATTTGAGAAGAACATCAATTCCTACCTTATTTTCCTTGGTTCTCACGATGTTCTCTGAACATTACAGGATATCCCTTTTCGGAGGAACCAGATCATAAAAAAAATATCGATAAAACTGATAATACCGATAATATCGATAACCTGAAATGACTTCAGATAAGCAACATCCTGTTATATCATTGGCTAGCTTATACTGACCCACTCTAGTATGAAAAGTTGTTCCGCGAGGTGTACCTGAGGGTCAATAGCAAAGACTATCATTATCATTCTGACCATATCATATTGGCACTAATGTTCAAATCACTACCATTTGGTAAATGGGATAAAAATTACATAAACATTTTTAATTTTCAGCCACACAACACGTACTACGACGTGGGAAGACCCTCGAAAGTCCTTGGCTGCCCAAGCGGCTGCGCAGCAACACCAAAGCGCTGAACAACTTCTGACTGCACACCAACTGTCACATCCACAATCGCCCAACCCTAACGGTAAGTCCTGCAAAATACGCATAGCAGCCATTCAATGGGGTATGGAGCCAGAGAGAACATATGATTGGAGTGTTTTTTTGGGTGCAATAATTCGGGAACATAAATTCATGAGGCCCAAATCAGAGGTGTTAGGTACTTCATATTTGGGTTTCCCTGGCCTAATTGCTTAGGGCCCCTAGAAAAAACCGATAACGACTTCTATAGAATTCAGATACCAATAACATGCTATTTGAATTATATGGTTTTGGAATATAAAAATATTTCACATGAAATATAGCAAAAATATCGAGATTCTTCAATTAGGCGTATAACATTTTCAGCCTCACCAGTTAGCTTTACTCGAGGCTTTACTATAGAGCGTGAAGTCTATGTCAAAGTGAAAAGTGTCAAAAATTCGACCCGAAGGCCTCTTTTTTCGAATATTATCTAAATTATATGTGGCCTTCAATTTTTGGTTCCACACGTATCTATTAATTGATATAATAATGCATGTTCTCATGTTAAAATTTTAATTATTTTGTGTGCTCATATGAAAGCCTCACTTTCAATCCGAATCCGAAAATTACGATAGCTAGTATGAATATGAGTCACTATTATCAAACACAACACTCATTTCTATATGTGTTTCATTGCATCAAGATCTTTGGCGAATTCACAATAAACTTCAAATACTTGAACTTTGTTGCGGAATTTTCAATCGCCATTTTTTGTTCTCAAAAAATGCGAATTTCGCAAAATCATGTTCATACTTGACCATATCATATTCTATCTATTATAGTGCATCCGGCAACATTGCAAAAGTGATTGTTGATTCCGGTGCATATCGGACCTTGCCAAATGCAAACGCGTATTTTTGTCTTCTGTTGGGCATATTTGATTCATCGCTCCAATTTCAGAAACACCCTGTATCTGTTTACTAGAACTTTAAACATTGCTGAGACTCTGTAACAGTATTTTGAATCCATCTGAGCTCAATGTCATTTTGGCTTGATTTTTCTATGGAAGAATGCTGCCTGAACACGATGATCTCCGGTTGTTTCCGAAATTGGGGCAGTATATAAAATGAGCTATGAGACACAATGAAATGATAAATCACAAAAAATGTTTTCTTAAATTTTTCAAAAAATGGGCACTCTCACTATACTACAACTATTATTGTACGTCTGGCAACATTGCAAAAGTCCGGTGCTTGTGATCTCGCCGAGAGTAAACGTTTTTTCGTCTTCTATCATCCATTTCTTTATTGCCCCAATTTTCGGAAACACCCATATACTGCTGAAAAAGATATAAATTGATAATGATTATGAAAACCGGTAAAACGGATTTTGTAAAGCTATCTGATGATAAAGTTATAATATCTAAGATTTTCTCTCTCAATCAACGTTTTCCATTGGCCAAAATGCGCAATGATTTGTTTGTATTTATTGTGTTGCCTTTCAATATGTCCCAAAATTAAAAATGATAATATTCTTCCAGCATATATCTGGTTCTTCGTACAGATTAGTATTAAAAGACAGTTTTTCAGCAAGTGATTAGTACAATAAACATCATGAATGAATAAAATATCAAAACTCTACTCGAGACTGTACCATGTGCTATCTAAGTTGTACAATTCACCCTATATCTTTTATTTTTCCACTTCGCTCTTGGTGGTGGCTTCGTAGTATGAATCTTTGATCATGTTTGAAAAATTTGCACCCAAAAATTCACTCTTGTAATAATAATTATGAACCATTATTTCCTTTCATGAATTGATTTATTATTTTTTTTAGCCATGTGACAAAGTTTCACAACTCGCACCCTCTTTCACTCTTTTATTTTCCTGAAATTTGGAAAGTTGCATGGATATGACTACTGAGAAGCCCAATTTGACTTAATGCTAGATTTTACTTAACAACTTTCAGTTTTTAGGGAAGTGGCATCAACTTCTGATTTTCATTTTATTATTGAAATCTATGCATAATTTTCTGAATCCAATGGTACTATTCTTGCTCCATAGTTTGTATTTCAATATAGCTAGAACGATTATTTTGTTTTTTGATCTAGAGAGCCATAAAGCACCCTGAAATTATTCCAAATTATCCAAATAATCTCATACACGAACAAATTCATATGGATGACGATGATGTCAGAGTACCAACATGGTACCATTTGAAAGAATGAAAGCAAATAATAGTTTTGGTTTTCCATTCTTTTCTACTAAACAGAGAATGTCCATGACTATAGCGATTTAAAAAAATGAAATATTGGAATCAGAAAATTTCGTAGAATTCATCAATATGGTCACATACAGAGTGATACTTTTGAAAATCGAGCGTTAAGAATGTTGAGATATTTTCCGGAAGAACCAGAAATTGAGAGTATTCACACTAGTCACATATGCAATCTTCCGAGTTTCAAAAATATGGCGGTAAAAATAATGGAGAAGAGAATGGTACGATGAGACCGTGAAAATTCCATGATCATTTGAGGAAACTGGTTTTTGCTTGGCCTTTTTTTGAAGATCTATTAATGCTAGAGCTGTAAGGTTATTACTAATACCATGACTGTATTCGCCTGATAATACCTATAGGTAGACTCTTAGAGGAACAACTCAATTCATTTGAAAACTTTTATGCAAATCGAATATTGATAAGAATGAGATGTAGTTTGATTAACTAGAAAATTTGATGGAGATTTTTTTTTATAATTTGATTTTTTATTTCTACAGCTGGCAAAGTTAGTGCAGATGTAGATTTAGGGCCGTTACCTGAAGGATGGGAACAGGCACAAACTCCCGAAGGGGAAATCTATTTCATTAACCATCAAACACGTACGACCTCGTGGTTTGATCCTCGAATTCGTAAGTCAATTCCTATCTTTTCGAAAAAAAAAAAAATCAACAATAAAAACGCAAATTACAAAATACCCAATCTTGCTAGCGCCAAACTGAGAAAGAATAATCTGGCAATCAGATGAATCGTTCCATCCAAAAATTGATATCATTTTCAACATCCTATAACTATAAAACGAACTGAAATACCCTCGGAAATACCTAATCTATCTGAAGATCTAATCTGATTTAGATACAGACAACTTACTTTTCTGAACAAACACTCCAGAGACATCAGATTTTTCATTTTTATACATCCCTCGATAGATATCATCACAAAGTTTGAAAACTCTCCATATCTGCGTACCTTTTCATATCATACGGATATGAGTAGGTATAAAAATAACAACTAGCCTGCTATAGGAAAATATATCTGCATGGTGAAGATGAATGAAATTGTAGAAGTTGATATTCACAACAAGAGGTTACCTCTAGAGAGAACAGATTCGAGAGATATCCACTCTCTGGTACAAGAATTCTAGGAAGAATAATTTATTTATTTATTTATTTATTTAATTTGTAATACATCCAGCAGGCCAAGGCCCAATTACAGGAGTATATAATAGAGATTACTATACATATGGTTGAGTGTGATTTCAATTAGGTGTAATCAAAGTAAGTGAAAATTTTAGTTAGGAACTAAACTGGAAATGGTTTGTTTAAATTGTTTTGAGGTGAGAAAAAATATATCTACAGTTCCAAGTTTATTATAATTTCTGCACATTGAATTGATTGGGGAATGAAAATGGTGCTGTGTGTTACACACATCAATGTGGAATGTATCTTGATACCGAGAGGCTAATCGGGGTATACTGAACTCGATTTGCGAAAGTAATACTGAGGAGTCTATAGTATTGTGTATAATTTTATAAACAAAAAGTAAATCACCTATTTCTCTCCTCTTCTTCAGCGATTGGAACTTAAACTCATTCAACAGAAGGTCATAATTATAGTGCCTTTCGGGGTAGACTTTATATTTTTTGTAAAATAAGTATTTCAGAAATTTACGCTGTACCATTTCGATAGCAGAAATTGTTTGTTGGTGGTACGGATTCCATACCTGACTGCAGTATTCCAGTTTACTTCTAACTAAACTAAAGTATAACTGACAAAGTGCTTCTAATGATTTAAATTCACTACAAGTACGAATTAAAAAACCCAAGGATTTCATAGCTTTGGAGATCATTGTTTCATAATGACTTGAGAAGGCAAGTTTGGAGTCATATATGACACCCAGGTCCTTGTGTTGTGTGACTCGTGTTAGAGATTCATCATTGATGACATAGTGGTACATAAGAGGATTATTTTTTCGTGAATACGTCATCACCTTACATTTGCTGACATTGAGCGATAGTTTATTTATTGAACACCAGTTTTTCAACAGATTCAGATCATTTTGTAAGGAAATGGCATCCGATAAGTCGTTAATCCTTCTGAAAATTTTCATGTCGTCAGCAAATATGAGGGATTTCGACTCAAAATTGGAGCATACATCATTCACGAATAACAAAAATAATAAGGGTCCCAAATTTGAGCCTTGAGGCACACCTGATGTAGCTATAAACTGTGAGGATTGAACTCCTTCGTATTCGACATAAAGTTTGCGGTCTTTCAGGTATGTCCTCAATACATTGATAAGGTTTTTGGAGAATCCAAAAGATACTAGTTTATCTAATAACCTGCTGTGTGATACGCGGTCAAATGCTTTACTGAAATCAGTATAAATAACATCAACTTGGCATCTTGAATCTAGAGCATTCGAAACAAATTCCGTAAATATACAGAGGTTTGTCGATGTACTGCGACCTTTCATGAAGCCATGTTGGTTTTCTGTAATGAGGTGACGAGTGTGTTCATACATCAAGTCCGCCAAAAGAATCTCGAATAATTTTGAAAGAGCAGAAACTAAAGCAATTGGCCTATAATTTGTTATTTCTGTTGGTTTTCCTGATTTAAAAATAGGACATATACGTGAGTATTTCCATATATCAGGAAATTTTCCACTTTTAATAATCAGGTTGAAAATGACGACTAAAGGATCCAATAATTTGTCAATAGATTTTTTTAATAGCTTGGGTGGAATATTGTCAGGTCCAGATGACCACTTGTTCTTGAGTTTTTTGCAAGCATTGAGAATTTGAACTCGCGTAATTATAGGAACGTGTAAGTAACTGCTGTTAATCTTGGAGTACTCATCATTCATCGAAACATCGCTATCGAGATCATATTCCTCCTCAAGGAAAACACTTTTAAAGTGGGTTGCAAAAGACTCAATAATCTGTTGAGGGTTAACGAGCGTTTTCCCTTCGTGATTCATTCTACCAGGAATACGAGATTTTTGCTGTTTAAGGTTGATAAAATTCCAAAATTTTTGAGGATTGTCTTTGATACTACTTTCTGAATTATCGATGAAAGTTTGATACGCCACTGCAATTTCAGTTTTAATAGCTCTTCTCAAATTTTTAATACGAGCTAAGTAGAAGTTGATCTTATGTTTTCTATACATTTTCAAATAGTGATTTTTAGATTTTATGTTGTATATAATGCTTTGGTTAAACCATACAGGGTATTTATATTTTCTCTTTCTCGATAATGGTACACAGCTCTTGATTATATTTCTCAATGTATTGCTGAAAAACTCGCAAGCAATGTTAACATCCGAATAAGAGCCAATTATAGTCCAGTTGAATTCGGTCAGTAATTGATTGAATTTTTCCCAGTTGATTTTCCTAAAATCTAAACGATCAATATGAGAGGAAAAATTGTTTTTGACACAACGAATATCTTGGAATTCAATTACAATTGCTGGATGCTGAGGATCTAATGGTACTAGAGGGTCATTTTCACATGTTACTAAGCAATCTGCGGAAGATGGTGATAATGTGCACAAACTGATATGTTTCACAAACCTGCCTGAACCAGAAGATGGAACATTTCAAGCGAGAAATAATTGGTTTCAGAAATGTTTCAGACACATATTTTGGTTTACTTATGCTGGAAATTAATATTTCCAATACCTGCTTTGCAGACATTCTTCATCATCAAAGATGCACCCTTTACAATTCGTGTCACTATATTCACCTATTCGATCAGTTTTTCTTAAAGTTATTCAATGTTGGATTTTGCAAATTTTTGGGGTCAGCGATTCGAAAGAAAAAATCGAGGAAAACATTCTCATTTGGACCTGATTCGGGAATTTTTATATCTTTTCAGATGAAATCAAGCTTTTATAAATAACTACTATGCAAAAAAGTTTATCAAATGTAGTCTACCTTCCAATAAGTCATCTAAATGTTGCTAACCCGACCTCTCAATTGTCCAAATTTTTATTTTGAAATTCTTGAATTGATATTGGTGATTGAAGTAAACGAAATACCAAGTTAGATCCCCAAATTATAAAAAACTCAAGAACTTCCTCAGAATTTTGAGCTTATATGTTAAATATTGATCTGATTTGCTAATTTCCAGAAAAAATATTACATGGAAAAAAATCAAACGTAAGTACCTATTGATTACGAAAAATGTTCAACAAATGATTATTCATTTGAATGAGATATTAGTCATAGGTCTTCATTTTATTTATTATTGGAAAATTCCAAATCGTAAAATTTGAACAATGAACAATGACTTGTATACTACAAACATACTGAATCGTGAAAAAACTTCGAACTAAGTACATACAAATTAAACAGAGTTACCCAATTTTTGACTCAATGTTTAGTTATCATAAATATTCTTTGTATTTCTTTCTGATGATAATTTACGTATTTAAGTGTTACTACTCACTTTTTGTAACACAACTTGGGGTTAGATATATGGTTTCCTTTTATCATCAATACAATCATTGAGAGAATCTTTGGAAATAATTCACTCTGAAATTAAAGGGGTTATCCAAGAAAAAGGCTATGCTCAGTTTCAAATTAACAAGTCAATAATCATTATAGCCTAATTTCTTGCTTAACCTTGTAATTTGACTCGAAACTAAGAATAATCCAAAATCCAATCCTAGAAGTGCGACATGACCCTTGATTTTTTTCATTTCCAGCCACCCACCTTCAGCAACGTACTTCAGCTTCTAACGTAGTCGGAACCAATTGGCATTCATCCGCCAAAGCCCAACAAATCAGGTTACAGCAGTTAGAGATGGAGCGAGAGAGACTCAAACAGAGGCAGCAGGAGATCAGGCGACAGCAGGAGATCATGATGAGAAGCTCCAACGATTTGCCAGTCATGGACCCGTTTCTGTCCAGCCTGACTGACCATTCGAGGCAGGAGTCTGGAGACAGTGGACTAGGTGAGAACTACTACTCCTCTTACAGATTGGATGGGCAGCTAGCTTCAATTCCACGTCATCTAGCATGGGCAGCTAGCATCAATTTCACGTCATCTACGCGTCACCAATTACGTCAAGATAACCAAATCATCGACATGAAAGAGACGTAAATGTTACGTCAATATGTCACAGCGAAACGACGTTGTAACAACGTCATTTAGCGACGTCGTCTATACGTCGAATAGTTACTAAGTAGGTCCAGGTTCCGACATCACCAAGAAACTCTAAATCACTTTCCCATGATCCTATTTCTTGATGGTTGGCAAAACAGTTCATATGATCTAGTTTACAATAGTTGTTGAAATATTTTATTTGTTTACATAATTATAAATTATACATAGGTATTCTTTATCTGAATAGAACAAACAGGCATAAAATAATAACCTCAAATTATTCTTGTACCTACGATTCAATGTATTTATAGATTACCTTCTTCAAAAAACGACCTCACTACACCAATCAACTTCCAAGTTTCATTTGGAGATTCTCCTTTTTTAATTGACCTGTTGAAAAAGTCTTGCCGTTTGAAAGGCGGACACAACACTTCACAGTCTTACGAGGCGTCAACCACTTCTTCTGTTGAACGAGTGCAATCATTCCGTAATTTTCTCGAAATTGTTCTCCCACAAACATTTCAACTGCTTGAATTACAAAAACAACCAGCAAACTGTAATGTATTAAATCTGTCTGAACATCACTTTTCCATAGTATCCTTGTTTTTCATGACCCAAAATCACAAATCCGCCATTACAACACTCGATAAACTTGATTACACATGCGCATGATAAACAAGATGACTGATGAAGATTATCCTTACACATTCTCTTGACATGACCAGCTACAGTCATATTAGTATCTAAACTCATGAGTGAGTATCGGTGAGATGTAAGCGGACTGAAACGAATGAACGAATATTATGATAATACTAATTTGACTAATATCTGGGATAGGAATAATACCTCGAATAATACATTATTGTAATTATCACCCCATTCGGATAATCTTGTACCGTTCCAGGAAAATAGATCCAAATTTCAGAATCTTTAGGATCGAGTATTCTTTAGTCATGGCGATTTAGGGAATATTCCTAAAAGGAGTATACTTTCTTATATAGGTATATGTTCGAATGCCCAGCGTTGCCCTATTGATAAATAGAAGTTCTTGTCTTTCCCGGTAAGACAAAAGTCAATAAAACGATGAAAGCCGAATATCAACTTATTGCTTTGCTGGCAAAGTGTCTACAAGAATGTGAATGGTCAACAGCGTTCTGCCGTTGAAGTCATTCCCCCAGCAATGAAAGCATTGGGTCATTAACTGTCCGGCAGTACATTGTTTGTTGAGATACAAGGCTATCTCAAGATTTGATGGAGAACCAAAAAGTGATATAAAATACAGGGCGTTCTCGTCGAAATAAACAGGTTAACATCAACTTCCAATAACCCAGAAATTTTCTGGGTTGATATATGTACTTACCTCAATTTATTGACCCCATTGACTATATTTATCATATGGTCATTCAATTCACAGAGCACTTATTCGAAAAATAAAAACTTGGTTTTATCCCACGTTAATTATTGATGAACATAAAAAATTGATTTAATGAATGTTTTGATCTTCAGAGTGCATGAAATACCTACTCTTTTTGTCCTATACAAAGCACATCACCTCACAGCTGTTGTATTGATCATTTATTTTGGATGATTTGCAGATTTCAAAGCCCATTGAACACATAATTTAGGATCTTTGCTTTTTGCTAAATCAATGTTCATATAGGCGCTGTGTCAATGTATAAAAAAATTAATACCACCATATTATCGTATATACTGTGAGAACTTGTTGTAGGAACATACTATCTTGGTTACCATAATTATATGTTCTGTTCTATATGTGACCATGACCATATATACTAACATCATTAATCTTGGATTAACATAAAAAACTACTACCAACTGCCGAATATCAACAAATCTTCAGTCATTTATTTTATTTCATGCGATAGCGACTATTTGATTGTTTAGGTCAAAGTATTTTCAACTGAGATACTCCTTTTTTCCAGAGTACAGCAAACATATATATCGTATATCAATTGTACCGTGAAGTAATCCAAAACATTGTAGAAGTCAAAAGAAGACAATAAGTGTTTCTACATAAATCTATGCTTCTTCTTTACAAGAATAAGTGAAAACCTAAAATTCCGAATACAACAAATGGTTGTACAATATATATAAGTTTACTATCATAGGAACTAGACTGTAAATAGAGTATCGGCGAGATGTAAGCTGACCGATACGAATAAGGGATATAAACGAGGGAATATTCCAAAGGAATCTGTTATGATGCTAATGATTCAAATAAAACAATGTTATTCTGAGAAAAATCATCTATCACACCATCGTATTTCAATAATCTTGAAACTCGAAATTCAGTATAATGGTATATGGTATCATACATAAAATATACTTCTATAAAAAAGTCAACTTTCCTAAGATGTAAAAATGACAATAGACTGATGAACTGATTTCCTGTTATGAGTGATAGTTGTTGATTCGGATACGATGACAAAATTGAAGGGAATCAGGGAGGGAACCTTCAAATTATTTTCAGATCATTATAGGAATTTCCTCTCGTGAGTTTCAAGAGATGAAAATATAAAATCGCAACAAACTGAGATCATATTACTGAATAATTTATAATATAATAATGTGATGGAGTTGTTAGTTTAAGGCATTTGACCCCGAATCCCAAGAAAATCTGATTCTCAATTTGTAGACATTGACTTTGAACCCCAATAAAATTTCGCCTGCAGCGCATTTTTAACCATTTTCAACATTGCTCAATTTTTTTCTGAGTTTCTTGACCCTCCTGCTATATAAGCTTTCATTCTGCCAAAATTCAGTGTGATCGCAGTGACTGACGAATTATCAAAATCTCCAAATTATACTTATTATCGCTATCAAGCAATCTCACTGGATTAATTAAGGTGAATCAAGTAACATCAAAAGACAAACAAACCTGCTAATATTTTGAAAATCAATCAAGGAGTTTTTGAACTGTGGATGAAAATGAAGCTCTCAAAACATATTTACCTACATGAACGTTTTTTTTTATTTTCCATTAGTGGTGGAGGTTGCCTCACCATGCCTCATCCCCACCTGAGCTCCGCCCATTTCAACCTAAAATCCCCCTACTCTAACCTAACCCCGCCCTACCAGAGTGGTAGTGGTGGGGGGTTGCCAAAGTAACGCGATGACTACAATCAGAGGTTATCTTTCGATCATTGTTTCAGGTATGGGAACAACATATTCGATGCCACATACACCTGAAGACTTTCTGGCCAATATGGACGACAACATGGACGTTGGCAGCGAGAGCCACACCATGGAGACCCCAGACATCTCAACGCTCAGCGACAATATTGATTCGACGGACGACTTAGTGCCTACCCTACAGTCTTTGGGGGAAGAATTCCCCATACTGGACGATGTCCAGTCTCTGATAAATCCGCCGACTACAAGAGCTGACAACGTACTAATTTGGTTGTAATTCAAGTGCCTAAAATCTGCTTTCGTCTGATCGAGGAAAATTTAGCAGGCAGCAGGCAGTTTATTTCTCATTCGATTTAGGTAAATTATTTATTCATTGAGGATGCCGCTGATCCTCTTCAATTTTTTGCAATACATTGATTGGTTACACTTAAAATGGCAATAATGAATCTATATATTTTATAAGAATGAATTTGTTAAGCATGAAATTTTTAGCATTGTAATATTGTATTTTGTCACAGTTTATAGGAACGTTATTTTACTGTTGGGTATGTTTTTTGTCGTACATACAAGAACTGCCACTTGAAGTAATCAGATCCGTGACTTTCTCACTAGAATTTTATCGAAAACTGCTCATGAAGTTGTATGATTTTGATATCAACAAATATTGAAATACAAAACAAAATATTCTTCAGAATTCTAGGATGATGGCCAACATTGCAGCTTATTGGTATACCTGGAAAATAAGTTTGTGATTGTGGGGAGATTTCTTAGTGGCAGGACTGGTATACAGGGTGTCCCTGAAATGTCTGTACCATGGAATGCTGAGACCGAAACAAGATGACTGCTAATTTTAGCTGCTACAGAACAGTTGAAGTTTTCTCAAATATTTGGAGATTTGCTATTGAATTTGTATTTTTGTATAATCTCACTTTTGCTACTCTAGATTATTCAGGATACATCGAAAAATTTTACTTGAGTTAATTTGGAATGTCCATTTTTCTTCTCTATTCTGTATTACAAAATACCCGAAGAAAATCATGCCAAATAATGAAGAATATTCTCCATATTCTGAGAGAATTTGGTAGAAACTCGCAATAATTCACAGACAGTATTTAATGATTCACTAATTTGAAGGTATTACATTGAATTTCAAATTGTGGAATGATTTGCGAACAAAGGAAAATATCCCAAATACTCATCAAGGATGAAAGTGAGGTGATTAATGAACAATTGGAAAAGGTATTAATATCTGGTACAAAATACCTAACATCTCTAAAAAATGCAACTTCAATATGTAACGAGACTCTTCAATTCAGGGGAAATCGGGGCGTGGTGGTCTCAGAAGTCAGAAAAACACCAGATTAGGATATCCCGTTTTATTGGTTCCTGCCGGCCACACGGCGTTAGTTTCGTGATGTTGAGATATAATTTAAGAGCTAAAAGACAATGCAAAATGAAGATCTAGCCTGACTTGTATATAATCAGAATTCAAGCTCAGCAAGAACATAATAAGTTAACAGGAATACAAAATCTTTAGCGCCCTGTAGGTATAAAACATAATACATATACACATACAGAAAAGCTGCACAGGTCATTTGAGGCAATGAAATATCGTCTAAAGAAAAGCTCCACCTACCTAAAAGACAATGCAGGCACAAAGGATATCTTTCCAACGAAAAGAATCCTTCTTCAAACCAAGGGCACTTTCAATTTAACTTGCAATTATTTTGGCTGAAGAATCAGTTAGGCATGATACAAAGCCTATTACTTTTCTCTTTGGAGTCTTGATGATAAAAGCCTTGATATCCAACGAAAACCGAAAAAAGTGGGTATTTAACGTCCGAATAAATAAACTCGCAAAACACAGTGCAAAAACCCATCCGCGCGGCGGAGGCAGCTAATTTTTATCGCCCTACGCTTCGCAAACGAAGATGGTACAAAAAGGTACGACCGATAAATAAAACCCTATACTGAGCGAATCATTTTCACACCACACGACATATTAAAAAGATGGCAACGGAGGGTGTTTCGCTACAAATATTAATCTAGAACATTGAAAAATTTTGAGAGGTAACTTCGGATCAGTCATTTATCTCAGGAATCTGTGTTATTATTGTTCACAGACATTTCAGCGACACCCTGTAAAATGTCTTTATTTATGATAGTTTATTGTTACTTTATCGATATTATCAATTGTCAATCTACTTAAATGGGAAAGTGAGGACCTGATGATGAATTGAACAGAGAAATTGCAAAGTGACCTACATACATATGATTAGGTAATTTACTTTTTCAAACTGATAGCAATTAAGATCTGTTCAAATCGAAAAATATTGAGTGTAATTTTCTTGCACAATAATTACCATCTCATGTTTGATGCAATATTTATTGACATACAAAAAACCGTATCAGGAATAACCTCTACAGCAATTTAAGTTTTATAATGTTAGTTAGAATTTACAGGGTGAGCTATATTCTGAAACCACCATTGGGTTTTCATTTGTGGAAAAATTGAATTCTCAATATCCTGGTGTACTTACAAAAGCTTAAACAACCAATAATATTTGGATAAGTTTACAGGAATGTGAAGAGTGAATTTTTCTCACATGAAGTGCTTATTTGATAATAGCAATTGGGTGAAATATACATTGGTGATGATTGAATTTGGCTGGCCCTGTAGAAAGAGTATGTCACTTTATAAATGTTTAAATGTTATTTGTAGTTATTGGCTCCGGTTGCTCATGCACAGTTCATGAACAGTTTGGAGTTCAATTCATTACATGTTTCTGATAATGCTTCGTTATCATGAAAACAAGATGCTCATATTATACAGGGTGATTCAGGTTTTGAGGCACAAACTGAAATGGGAGATAGATCTCATCATTTCATTCAAAAAAGTTTATATAAACATTAGTCCGATCTCGTTTAGTAGCGGAGCTACAGGGGGTCAAAGTTACATTATTTTTTTCTATTAATTGAAATATCTTGCTTACCTTCCTAGATATCGCTTTGAAATTTGATGTGGTAAATACTTTCTAGAAGATCATCATTTGAAGCCATTTGAAGATTTTTGAAATCTACAGGGTGATACATTATTGGGGGTAGAGACTTCTTTATCCCCCCCAAACTTTTTCGTAGTACGCCTCTGGCATCTTTCAGTGATCAAATTGTGTGGATCGTTCAATTTAGAGGCTTTTTTACTCCTTGATTTTTTTCGAGAAAAGAACCGTTTTTGAGATAAATAAGCATATACGTTCTAAAACATGTTAATTTTGACTATGTTTCCCTAACATTCTATTTTCGATGAAAGTGCAATGAAATGTACTCACTAAAATTGCAATCACGATTCCAATCTGCACCAGTAACGGGGATACAGAGGGTAGAAAGTCAAGTTTTTTTTTCAGATGAATAAGATTTAAGCGAAACATAGGCAAAATTAACATGTTTTAGAACATATATGCTTATTTATCTCAAAAACGGTTCGTTTCTCGAAAAAAATTGAGGACCAAAAAAAGCTTCTGAATTGAACGATCCACACAATTTGATCACTGAAAGATGCCAGAGGCGTACTACGGAAAAGTTGAGGGGGAAAAAGGACGCCTATCCCCACAAAAACGTATCATCCTGTAGATTTTGAAAATCTTTTAATTGCTTGAAATGATGATCTTCTAGGAAGTATTGACCACACCGAATTTCAAAATAATATCTTGAAAAGTAAGCGAGATATTTCAATTAATAGAAAAAAATAATTAAGCTTTGACCGCCTGTAGCTTCGCAATTGAACGAGATCGGACTAATGTTTATATAAACTTTTTTGATTAAAATGATGAGATCTATCTTCCATTCCAGTTTGTGCCTTAAAACCTGAATCACCCTGTATATTTATATATTATATAACAAATCCATCCATTTTGGTGCCTTTAATTAATATTTGTACATATATTCGACAATCGTTTTGTAATCTAGTTTTAATAATGTAATTTTAATCATACAGTTCATAAAGTTCCACATGTCAAAAACTGTTTTTTGTCTGAAGATTCGTCAAATGCGATTTCTTTTTTTTGCCTCGGGTATACATAACTTAAATATCAACCAAATTTCTATTCAATACCTACATATGGTGAGATAGGATCACATCAAATGGGGGGGACATTTCGGAGTCATCCAAGGCCAGCAGAAAAGAAAATTCTACAACAAAAAAAAACACTGGTACTAACGAAAAACAGTTTTCTTTAATTCTCTGAATTTCGGGAGAATTCAAATGAATATTGTAGATTTAGGGTGGTTATTCAATACCAACTGGTACTTATAGTGTTATCATTGAAAATGGAAATTCATTTCTTACTTCGGCTGATGATTGACTTGAATTTGCCCGAAACCTGTTCCCATTTCATGTAATCCCTTTTCACAAGACATAATTGAAGTTGTGGGGACGATTCATTATTGTTCTTCTAACTTCATTTTCAACAATAATGGACTTCTATTAGAGATTACAAATAACAGGGTGTCTTAGTTGAAATGTACACCTCTGTAGCTTAAATACAATTTATAAAAAAAATTTTTAAAAAGTACTCATGGTCCACAAACTCCTGATTTTAAATATTGGAATTGAATTCAATATTAACATTTTAGCTATAAAGGAAACCTTTGAAAGTTGTGTGAATGTTTCACCTTCCAAATATTAGCAAACAATGTTCAAATTGACCTCATTCTACTGTTTGAATGAGATACTGAATTCTAGAACTGAAGACACAATAAAATAACTCTAAATGTTTTCCACATATTGCACTTGGTTGGTTTATCAGATTACAAATAGCAAGTTTTTGCCATGTTGATTTAGTGCCTTCTTGAAGAGATGTAACTGTGTTAAAAAATCGTTAGCCTTAAATTTATACCTTTCTATAGAAGCTTCATATACTTACCCGCCCATTTCAAAAATACCAACAGAATGGTTATTTTGCTGGCAAAATATTGTACCATACATTTTTATATTCATGTATCTATCTATCATACAAACACCTAACGGCTCACTTTGGAGAATTATAACAATGTTACAGATCAATACAGTGTTTATCCATGATAATTTTAATTATTTATGGTGTTTTTTTCTAATATTTCATATACAGGATCTATTGGAGGTTGATAGCATACTTACTAAAATAGCTCAATGCCTGGATTTTCTAGTGGAAATTGTTTTTGATTCCTACTGGATTCTGCATAAATTGCGTTGAGAACTAAAACATAATTACCAGTCTGACAACATTCTGATGGCCTGGTTTTTTGATCGTCTGCATTTCTTTTGCTCCAATCTAGACAATCTTCAATTTTTACAAGCAGAAACCGACCGCCAATATTTTAGTATGCTATTTCCATTTTGTGACCTTGACTCCACGAAAATATACAGTGAATTCCAAATAAACTGACGAATTCATAGTATTACTGGAGGAATAAGAATTGCTGAAAAGAAGTGATATAAATAAACAAATTGAACTTTGTGACTGATTCACCATTGGGTGTTAACATTGAAGCAATATTATTCGTTAATCTTTGCAGTAATACTATTTGAAAGAGTTTTTCCAACATTGCAATAATTGCATATTTGATATTGAAGATTTTGGTACTCCTGTATCATTGTAGAATATCGCTTCAGTTAATTCAACTTTGGAAGCTGTATATTTGATATTGTATTAATTTTTGTAACCATAATAATTTTGTATGTTTTCCAATAAACAATGAGATTGGTATTGTAAATACTTTTCTTATTTGCATAACCCCGAATTTTACCAAAATACAGCAGTTTATTTTTAAACAATAATTAAGGACATTGACAGCTTTTTTGAAGTCTCGCAATTTCTGTAGTGCTCGCCATCAGCAAATTGAAATCTGATTGAGGAAATGTATCTTTTAACGAAAAAACCCGATTTTAGGATAAATTAGTTTTTCCTAGGCTAAACCAGTATATCCAGCGATAGGATGAACTAGTTTATCCTAGGCTAAACTGATTTTTCCTGAAATAATTTAATAACAAGTCAAGCTGATTGATAAAAAATTCAATGACTATGTTCCCGTTCCCGAATGATCTACTCATAAAATATTAACAAAAAATGGATAACAAGGACTCCAAAATTTAGATCCATAAACAACACATAAATGAGCTAGACATTTTGTGTTGTTTATGGATCAAAAGTTCGGAGTTCTTGACTTGTTATCGATTTCATGTTGATATTTTGTGAGGAAGGAACATACCTAAGTACATTCGGGAACATAGTCATTGCATTTTTTATCAATCAGCTTGACTTGTTATTAATTTATTTCGGGAAAAAACAGTTTAGACTAGGACAAACTAGTTCATGCTCTTCGGATATACTGGTTTAGCCTAGGAAAAACTAGTTTATCCTAAAAACGGGTTTGTCCAGTAACAGTACATAAGTGGCTTACATCTTGTTATATATCTGATTTTATTTCCTTGGCATTATTGGCATATTGGTCCTAAGCAGTAAACAGAACGAATTGTTACTTGAGAATTTATTCAGGATCATCAAAAAATATGATTACAATCCTACTTAAATCTACAACTACTTAATCTATTGAAGGCACAGCAAGCGTACTTATCGTACAGAGGTTAAATCCTTAAGATAGAATTATAGAGAAACTGTACAAAACATGGGTAAAAGCTCCAATTAATTCAAAATGAAAAGATAAAAGACTTCATATCTAAACTATATATAATTTAAAAAAGGTAATATCACTTTACAATAAATATAGGTGTAATTCTAAACAAACTCAATGATCAACCCATTAAGTACAACAACCTAGGAACACTCAATTTCAAATGTCAACTGATTTGTATGGCTCAAAAAGATACAGCCACAGAGTCTAGCAATTCAGAACAAATCATTTCATTCTGGCCAATGAAATAATCTAGTTTACATATCAAATAGGTAATAACGATCTGGCAAATAACATTTCAACAATCTGGAAAGGAAAAATCTACTACTTGATTGGTTCCGCTGAAAATTATACTTTATTTCATATCCAATGATCTACACCTTTAATATTTTTTAGCACTACTGAGTGGTCATTATGTACAGCTGTACAGCAGAAGGGTGGATTACTTGATCATTAAATGATTTTGCCTTGTGTTCAATGTCATAATTAGTTGAACAAAATTTTATGAAATACTAATCATATACAGAGAGTTCAGAGTATTTCATTCAAGGCGTTCAACTCACTTCAGATCAATTAAAATATGGCAGGGAAAACTACTTAGGCTTCTTTTGTGACTGAGGTCAAGGATAAACAATATCTTGGGACTTCTTTCTGGCCACTAACTGGAAATTGCGAACAGATGACTAGAACTAATTCAGAATTTACAGGGTGTCCCTAAAAGGTCTCTACAAAAACTTACCACATATTCTTCATACCAATTCAATTCAATACAAGCAAATTCAACTCAGTACAAAGTTGCTTACTTGCTTACAATTTTCAAATCGTTTTTGCTCCATAACTTTGAAACGGCTAGTGAGATTTTACTCAAATTTGGTGCGTTGGCATACCTTCTTTGGGAAATGAAACATACCTATATCATGATTATGAGGAATATCATTCCACGGACGTAGATAATGATTTTTTCAGCAAATAAACATCTGAAACTTCTACGCCAAAGGAAAGAAAGGGATTTGAATATGAAATTTGGATCGCGTAAATTGTTCACTAGAAAAAAGGTACACCTGATAAAATTTGAAGAATCTCATGGTTTCCACAAAATTTTAATTTTAGTAGATAGTTAGATAGAATCGTTTTGGTCTCAGAAATATGTGGTATGGTTTTGCGAAGACCTGTAGAACAACCTGTATGATCCGCCACTAACACAAAACTTGAATGCTTGAGTTCTTTTTATTTTGTTGAAAGAAAATTAAGGCAGCACAGTAAAGAGTATTATTTTTCAAATGAAAGAGTCTGCAGATTACCATGAATCCATATCCATAATATTCAGATGACAAACTATTAAAGTGTTCAAGAGATTCAAATATTGAATTTTGTGTCAATTTCAAAAGATGAAATCTCTTGCAAATTAAACCAATCAGAAACTGACTAAATCAAACAATAAAATATAGCATCATCATAGGTACTTTAAAATCAATACCTACTATTCATATGACATTTACAACATAATTTATTCTACTTTCAGATGGGACTCCTTTGAATAGCCATTATAACACAAATGACCACAAAATATATTCCACAAATTAGTTGCTGAAGATGGCAACTAAGTAATGAGAAACTGAGGATTCATGGGAATCTGCAAATCCCATTTCATCATGAATACCATCATAGATCACAAAACCTCCAGATATAGAATCAATATGGTCCTTATCAAGCATCCATACAACAATTTGTCATACATTGCTGAGACACTGCGCTGCTCAAACATAAGATCAAATAAAAGAATCTAACATGGCAAGTGGGTATAAAAATGAATAAAACGTAACTTTTTGAGCACCCCATTGCAGCACTGATGTACTACATTCAAAAGTTTTGCGATCTCTTCCTCTTTGTATCCATTGCATCCAGGATTGGTTGTCGTTTGATTTGATATTTTTTGCGCAGTTCGTCTATCTCTCTCTCCATGTCAGAGTCTAGAGTATTCATTCTTTGTTGCAGTTCTTCGAAACTCAAGTATTTCAACTGAAACAGAAAACCTATGATGACGCTTTTTTCAGGCAAATGTCTTCTATATTTCAACTTCATACATGTATACTGAACATTGAATTTATCTGTTTCTTGTAGTGGAAACTTTTTACATGAGTTGTGATCATCAAAACATGTCTTATCATCATAACCGTTTTCTAATCCCAACTTGCTAGCACAAAGTGGGTTGAAGTGACTTAGGAATTTGCTATTGTATAAATGATTAATTGAATTTTATTCCTTTGGACAGAGTAGTTGAGTTGAACTTACAAATTCAAAATCTCCATCCGAAAATGATTGATTGTACTGTGGTTTTTGTTCTGGTGTTTGTGGTGGAGGTACTTGGGTAACCTGTACCTGAATGTGGCTCTTGTGATTTTGTTGTTCATCAATAGTAACATCTTGATTCTCCAATGTTATGGGGCTTGAAACACCATTACCCTGCTAGAAAATCAGATAATAATTGTAATGCTGTGAATTGAATGTATTTTCATTGAATATAAAAGCACTGAAGATGTTGCTGGAATAAAAAAATTAAATCAAATCAGATAGTGGGTTGATGATTTACTGCTTATTCTTTTCAGGACAACTCGAAATACTTGCACAGCAGATAGGGTAGGTACTGAAGTAATTATAATACAATACAAATAATAAAGAACTGTGGTTATAGGATGAATCATTTTGTAGTTCTTTTTGATTCAATGAAGACTATCATTATTGAAAAATGAATTATAGTTTGTTTCAACAACTCTATCAATTTCAGGAATCTGATGTGATGATGAGTAGTTAATTATTCTTACCTTAACTTCTGCATCTTTTTTGTCAAAATGGTCCAAAAACATTGGCCGATATTTGTTCCCTCCCTGACTGGAACCAGTGTCATGCCCTTTAAAACACAATAATTTCAAGACTTCATTGGCTCTTCAAGATGAATATTTGTTATAATAACACCAATGATCACTAACATGCAAAACTGACCCAATGGCTTTTGTGTAGAGAATCAAAAACTTCTTTGAAACTGCAGATTTGTTTCACCAATATCAGAAAAATGCCAATGCAGAAAGCACTAAGGAGTTATTTAGGAAGAAACTGGCTAACACCTATCTTTCAATCATTCCATAAACTGATTCTACCATTCATGGGGTCTATCAATTTTATGTTCTTCGAAATTGAAATAACTTACTCTTCATCGTTTGATCATCTACATCACTATTGATGACCATGGTTCCCAATTCTGATTCAAGCTCTACCAATGTTCCACTAGGAGAAGTCGGTACAAGTGTACCAGCTTTATTAGGTACCAATGTTCCATCATCTGTACATTGCACCATGGTTTGGTTACCTAAGGCCACTTCATCATCCTTGAACAATAAAAAATGGGGTTTTATACTTCATATTACTGTTCCAGTGACTCTGTGTTGATTTATTCATCATGATAATAATAGAATTAGGATGGATCTACCTCATTTTAAAATTGTAATGAGCTTTTTAAATCCACCAAGAGGAAACAGTATACCCGAAAATGCATTTTCTTCCAGTAGGTATCAGATATTTTCATTAGGGATGCTCAGTTATGATAATTAATCTCCCACTATCAATGAAACACTAAACTTTCAACCCCAGACACTAAAAAGATGTTTTCACCATAGATACACAAGACTACAACAAGAAAGCTATCCTCAATTTTGTGTTTGAACCTACCTGCAAACCACAGTTTTCTTTATATATTCTCCAATTATCTATGGTGCATATTGGCTCTAATGAGGTTCCTATTTCTCTTCAGTCAAGAGAAGACAGTAAATATTTATGCATAGAACAGGAGTCAAAGTGCATTCCTCATCAAATTTTCAGTGATTGCCTAATCCTTCTGCAGAGAATTCATACACAAAATGCCATTTAGATAACTTTATTGAAACACAATATGAAACTACATAGGTAACTCATAACAATATTCAGAACAATAGAACCATCAGCTATATCAGTTATAACATGAATTTAGAACAATTCAAGGAAACAATATCCAGAACAATGAAACTATCAACATCCATTACAACAAGAATTCTAAACAATTCATGAAAACAATGTTATTAATAAAGAAAGGCCAGGCTTTTCGATTCTTCTAGAAGAATGAACGCACATAATCATACAGAAACACAAACAGTGTGCCAAACATATCTCTGAATCTCACATAATCGCTGTAGACTTTAGCAGCTTCTCCCAAGAAGAAATTGTAGATACAAGTGGCAATAAAATGCAAAGAGTTGAGCCAGCCTTCCATATCTGCCAGGGAATGAAGAAGTATTAGTTTTCATCAAAATATTTGATATCATTGATACATACCTTCTGGGCAAACTCCATTTCTGCAGATGAACATCTCATATATTGCCGGCAAGCAAATTATGAAAATCCCAATGAAGATCCAACGGTAGAACATCTCTGCTTGAGTTTGTCAGATGCAAAACGTTCTAATGATTTGTAATTAGGAAAGGTGAAGGAATAATATTATAGTGAATTGACAATGAATATGAGAAATGTCTTGCCAAATTGACAGACTGAAGGAAAATCAAGAAACAAAAAATTTCATGGAACGGAAACGTCATGTTTGATATAATGTTCCGCGCATGCGTTGAGTGCCAACAGCGCATGATCAGACACTCCCACTGACTCTGCTCAGTGCAATATGCTTGTGCACTTTCTTCACCTGTATAAAAGCAATAAAACTTATAAAACTGATATCAGTGATGTCACTGGTGAAAATCAGTTCATGATATAAGGCAGCTATTGAATCAAAAAGATTCAATCGTTTTCTCTCACTGAGGGTTGAAAGACATTTTTATGTTCTTCATGGTGGATTCTGGATTCCTTTGATATTCATGAAATAACCCTGATAATTAAGGAAGGGAAGGTGATTTTCAAAGTTAATGATTTCAATAACATTAATCAGCCTTTATAGTATCCAAATATCAACACAACACCACAATTGAAAAATGCTTTCCAAGGTGATTTTCCTAGCAGTTCTCATAAATTCCATACCAGTGATGTATCAAGTTTTCATATGCCATGGAAGAGAGTGTCCTGGTGGTGAGTATTTAAAATACTTTTTGGTTATTTAATAGTTCTCTCTAGCATTGTTTTTCTTTATTTAGATTGGGAAAGATGGATATTGGAAATACAACATTTTGCACTGGTCATTTACAAATTCTTATTGGGAGAGGCATATAAAGTATATTTTGTACTATGCTTTATCAGAGATCTTATATTCAGCTAGGAATAATATGATGTTATTTATGACTACTGAGACACTGAATCTAATGTTTATAATAGTTGAATAATGTATGAATATTATTATGCCTGTTATTTATTTGTATTGTCTGAAATTCAATTTAAGATGTTCTTACATCATACTGAGTGCTGATATATATCCCCATGTGGAACAGTATACATAGTTCCATTTGAGAAATTGATGCTAGTACTACTTCCCTAGTAACAAAACAATAATCCATGAATCAAGAAGTGTTGTTTATTATGTGACAACTTACTGTTATATATAAGATGTCCTGAATTGAATTTGTCTTTGAATTTAGGCAATTTATTTCTGTATTTTCACATTTTGTACAGTAAACCAGTCCTAGCATATAATATAACTTATAACTTTTACAATATTTGAGTTCAAAGATTCCAATGGTATGAATGCAACTTCATGTGCAATTTGATTTCATGAAGATTTAATCATTGTCCTCCTTTGTATATTTAGTAATGAGTCTGAATACAGGATTCTTTCCAATATTTCCTCTATGTAGATTTCAAGACAAAATATTTTCTTTAGATGACCATTTTTTTTTCAATAGACCTTCAAACATATTTTCAAACTCATCATTCCTAGTGTTCTTGGATCCATTTATCTGGTATGCTGCCTCTTCTTGCCTTTGAAGATATTTCAAACCTCAATCAAATTTTGACAGTGAATTTTTCAAGAACTTCTTTTTTTCATATCACCATAATACTTGTCCCCTGTAGAATATTCAAAAAGGAATTAGCATGATGATTTTCAGTGCTATTGATGACACTCCTGCCCATGCAAGTATATTATACCTAGCTATACTTGATTGTACTGTCTTCTTGAAATAGTTCTTTACCAATATTTTTTATGATTTAAATATCTGATAAATCAACTTAGTCTTGAAAACCAAGTTGATGTGAGTGATATTGGAGCATTGCTAAAGCAATTTGCTAGGAAATAATAATAGAAATTTGATAACATGTTAGTTTTCACTATTTCTTCAAGGTAATGTACTACTAGTGAGTTTCTGAGAAACAAATTTTTCTTGGAATTTTCCCTAAAATCTTAAATCATCACATCATACTCACAGATTCCTCAGTGATATTCTTATTGAGCCCCTGCATATTTGCCACTGAATTCATATTCTTGTAACTTTGATTTTCCCTTATTTCATGAGCTTCCTGTATCATAGTGCTCAGAAGGCTAGGTGCTTTGGCATTTCCTAAAAAAAGAAAAAAAAATACCACAAATAATTAGTAACAGGGTATTTCCATTTTTGGGAACAAAATGAGTACTTACCTATGAACTCATGTGACAATAGTTCAGTTGCTATAGCACGTTCTTCTGGATTCTTTACTAGGCAAACATTGACAAAATCTATAAACTCTGTGCTCCACTTGTCAGGTTCTCTGAAAGAAGGAGGTGGTTTTGTTGGTATCATGAAGATAGCCCTCATAGGATGAATATCTCCATAGGGTGGTTTCCCCTCAGCCATTTCTAAGGCAGTAATTCCAAGACTCCAGATATCAGCAACACAGTCATAACCTATTTCTTGAATTACTTCTGGTGCCATCCAAAATGGAGTCCCTAAAATATAATTTTTTTATTGAAAGGTATAGATGATGACATATCGTCGGTGTAATTAGCAATGTGCGTAACTCCAATATTGGGTCGAAATGACATTTTTGTGCCATCTGTTGGGGAAAAATTCAACGAATATGTTGGAAAACGGTCAATCTCCAAATAAATTTCTCCAGCAGAATAAACTCAATAAAGAAAAAGTCGTAACTCCAACGCGCTATTTTATGTTCGGCAATATTCGTATCTCCTTGTCTACTGTTCACATGTTCGGCAAAACATCATCAACTTCTGGTTTATTATAGTGAAAAAATATGCAATCTCACATTGGAAAAGGTAATTAAAACATTTATACTGAATGATGCATGCTTGATAATGATCAATATCAATAAAAATCAATTGAAATTGGGTTTATAATCATTATCATGGAGTTACGAATTTTTCGCTCTCATCCAAATGATTCGAATCTTGGAGTTAAGTCATTCAGTTTTATTGCTCTCCTGAAAAGTTAGTCATTGTGGAGTTACGCACTTTGCTAATTACACCGACGATATGCTCCTTCTATTTAAATGAGTGGTAAACTGTTTATTCACAGAATATTAAGCAGTGGTACTAAGATTGAACCTTGCAGTACTCCACTCACCAATCACAGTATTTCTTTTGGCCATGGTATCAGTCAATTGTCCAGCCACACCAAAATCAGCTAACTTGGCATGCCCTTCAGAATTCAATAAAATATTCCCAGCTTTAATATCTCTGTGGATCTTTCTTCTCAAATGTAAATATTCTAGTCCCTTCAGAGTATCAGATAAAATTGTGGCAATTTCATCTTCAGTCAATGTTTTTTTGCGAAGTCTCATTATGTCAGATACAGACCCAGCACCACAATATTCCATAACAATCCAAAGATCAGTGTTTTTGAAGTAACTTCCATAGTACTTAACTACAAATGGACTGTCACATTGTTGCATGATTGAGATTTCTTTGATTATTTCTTGAAGATCTGTATCCACAGGTACTTGTTTTATTGCTAATACTTGGCCAGATTCTTTGTGGAGTGCCTTATATACACTCCCATATGATCCCTCACCTAACTTGCATATTATATCAAAAACTTCTTCAGGTTGGCGAGTTAAGCTCTCTTCTGATAATTTCTTTAGTTCACTGAAACATTATTTGCTTATTATTTTGAACAGACAGAAGTACTATAATGGATAAACAAAAATACCAAGATTACATATTAATAATGCAGATTTTTTAATGAGAATCATGATTGAGAAAATTCGTTGAAATGCAGTTTTTTATCAAAAAGAATATAAATAGGTTATCTTCTTGGTATTTATCATTTGTGGGTAGATGGTAGATAATGAGAGCAGAGAGGAGAGTAAAAATACTCTCCATGTTCGATTTACTCACTCACCTTTTGGAAGACATTTTATATTATGAGAGATTACAGTCATGGAAAAATGAACTAAACAAGCATTTCATGTTTAACAACAAACAAATGTTATGTTTTATTTTTCTGCAACTTCAAACCCCATACTCACGAGTTGACTTGCAAAGTTGCAAGTATTAACCTTAATGACAGTTGACGTTTGAAAACTGATTTATGTCCAGATTTATGTCATGCTTCAGGCAGTAGAACTTAGAACAGTGGGTGACTGACTTAGAACGAAGGTTTGTTTCATGAATAATTCGTGAATTTTAGACACTTCTGAGAGCAAGGCGTCGACAGAACTCTGTGAGTGAGATCCAGATACCAAACTACCTATTATTTACTGAAGATCCATGAGAGGTCACTACAAGCACAAGAAGTTTTTCTACAGATAGATGTATTTTGATTTAAATTATTTTTCTACGGCTATAACAAAAAATATTCTTTTACTGCGTTCGATGAATTAATGACTTTGAATGTCATCAATTTTATTTCCGTATCTGACATTACAATAATGAATTATTCATTGTGATTATATTTCACAAAATCTTAAATCTCTTTTTCCATGAATTGCTCCTCCAGAGGAATCGCTAGAAATAAACAATGAAATAAAGCGCGTTGGGGGGGGGGGGGGAGGGGGAGGAATACATAATATGGCCTATGCGACCAACATCAGATTGTGTGGACGCACAAAAACACTTTTTAGGAAAAAGTAGGCCAAGTTAGGTTAGATTGTTTGGGTAAAGTAGTCCCATTTTTTATGTAGAAACGACATTTTCCTTCCTCAAGAAAAAAAGGTTAATTTAGACCGAGATAGCTTTTAGGTTATTGTTGAGAAAAAGTAGTCTCATTTCATTTTTTATGTAGGAAATATATTTACCTTCCTCATTATTTATCATATTAGACTCGATGTTTTATCCAATGTCCATAAGTTAGCCAGAATTAACAATGGCCAAGTGAACAACGGGAAAGGCAACGCTAGTCGCGATGCAACATTCCCCGCCCACTCGCTTTATTACTTGCGTTCTCTCTGCAGACGATACTGTCAAATTTCAAGCAGAGCAGAAGACAATCAGGTGGCTTCCTACAAGCCGAAGAAACAAGAAATGTTTCTGTTATCTGTTACAGCCGTATAGAAAAAGTATGGTGTTTCTACCTATATAACTCGCAGGGAATGCTATAATTTCCTACTCGTATGAATTGCAGCATTCGCCTACGGCTCATGCTCATATGCTGCAAACTTCATTCTCGTGGGAAATGACTATCATTCCATGCTCGTTAAACAGATATTTCCTACTCACTCGCAGCACGAGTCAGTTTTATAGGGTTATAGGACGCAGGGTTGAATAATCAATATGGCATATGGCACCCTTCATATCCTCGAATAGGTTCCACCCAGCGAGCACAAACATCCCTGGGATGTTTTTGAAAATATTGGCATGAAGATGTTTTTTTGAGACGAAATGTGCACTTACCAAAGGGGTCTTTATTGGAGGATATTGAAGTATTGACTTTGTTCTTCTGTGGCATTTCTTTGTGTGCCTACTGAGACGTATTTTTGGAATATTTTGAGATGATTCAAAAGTATAGGCATCAGGATGATTTTTTGAGACATGGCATCATTATCGAAATCCATAATTTTTTTATTCATTGATTTTGCACTATGACACGACCCGCATGAACAGAAACAGTAGGTAATTTTACTTTTTCAGGCAATGTGAACATATAGGTACTGTGTACTGTTGATCATCAAAAACCTAAAAAAGTATTTTTTTATAATTACATACTTAGGTATGTATTCCCGTTAAAATCGGGTTAAATTTGGATTTCATGTTGTGGAAAAGTATTCGGACCAAATTCCAATAAGAGTCTGATAAAATGATTTCATCAATGATTGAGAACTTAATCACAAATCTCGATCAGCTCTGATACCCATTATGCGAGCAATGGTCAATCTATGTTCACTGTTCCGTGATTCAATTAATGTTCTTGTTCCTTCTCCATTTTGTTTTTTGTATTGTAAAGGGAAAGTGATGAGTGCACGCATTTTTCAAATTTTGTTTTCTGTATGAACTTTCTGAAAAACAGATTTTGCCTTTAAAACGTGACCTGAGTCCCCATTTTGTCAAGTGAGTACCTACTCTCTCTGAGATTTTTGAACACATTCATTTATCTATTTAAACCTTGCCTGCTTTTAATTCCGCATTAGACAAAAAAAAGTTGTCGAATAAGTCCATCAGAATCTGAACTTCAATAAGGTATATATACCAAGTACTACCTACATTTGCATGATATATTTTCTGCCCTATAAATAATTTGTATTTATTTATATATTATTCGTCTATCGCAATACATGAAAGTATCAATGGTAAAACTGCATTTAGCATGCGATGGGTTTTTTTTCGAAAATTTTTTTTGGTACTTACGTATTTTTGTCTGAAAAACACGAATTTGATAATGAAAATGTGAACAAACCACTATTTATCGAGATATTTCAAATAAAAGTTCGAAATTTCAACTCCTTTTTCCCCTTTCGTTGGATGCATTTTCAGGTACTTGCTCTTCTTATTTTGTCATCGGACACTTTATGTACTCATGATGCAAGGTCTATTAACTTCTATAAGGTTACCTCATAGTATAGCATTATGGTGCGGGGGTGCGCGGAGGGGCGTGACGTCAGTGTTTCCCCACCACGTGATTGTAGATTTCGTTTGTGTCACTGTCAAATGAATTGAAAAAATTTTTGAATTTGAATTCGAAAGAATCGCGAATTTTAGACTATAGTTGAAAACAGGGTGACAAGAAGACTGAAGATATCTTTGAAAGAGTGTGAGAGGTTGTATAATAATATGGTGTAGTATTATTCAAGGCTGGTCACATCACAAATATCATAAATATTATTGTGTGTAGTCAAGAGTGGATATAGAACAAACAAATGTTATGAAATGCCTGTTTGGCAGCCTCCACATGAAATTCAGATAATTCCAAAGGAAAATGATGAGCTGTGGCAATGTGAATGTCCCTGTGGAGCAGGCATGTCACGGTTTTGTTTACACATTTCATAGGGACTTATATTGACAGGTAGGAAGGTGCACTTTTGATCTATCACACACACAGGTAAAAATACATGAAATTTCAGGAATGAAGACTTGGAATATGTGAAGCTGCATATATAACAAACAGAAGTGGTGAAAATTGAAAAAAGAGAGTAGATCAATCAATGATCTATTATACAGCCAAACCATTTCAATAGTTCTGCTACCTGCTTATTAAAAGAAGGAAAGTGACCCCCTAAAATCATTCTTCCTTTATATAATTGAAGTTAATTTTACAGGGTATATCAGTCTATTTTGTTTTTTGTTTGGAAGCCAATGAACTCAATGTAAACAACTAGCTATTGCATGGTACTCAGGAACACTGGTGAGTTTATTAAATTTTACTTATACTTGCTACTTCATTTTTACATGTAGCAAGGAGTCTTGGGAAATAAGGCAATCAACTTCTTCTTTCCAAAGGATTTTTCAAATAAATTTGGTCAGCATGGAGTTGAATATGAATCCAAAGCTCCTTCAAAATGTTCATTGAAAATGATATTGAATTTCAAATCATGCAAACAAATTTGTGTCCCAATATTTTCCATGGTTAGCATTTTCTCAATATGAAATTAATTTTCAGGAAGGAAGACCATGGAAATAATTGAAATAAGTGTCCTTCCTGAGGTCCTTACATAGAGGTTTGTTAAATAAAATGTGGAGTTGGAAGAGAGACACACTTATTATGGATAAATTCAGTTGGGAATAATGGCCCTAAAATGTCCCTAATGAACTTGAAAGAAACTAATTTTCTTGTATGATTCTTCTTCCTCCAAAACTTACATAAAGATTCCAGTTTTTTTGTGATACATTTTGTGTTAATGTTATGAGGAAGATATCTCAAAGATATTTCCATTATGTTGCACTTTTATTGCATTAATAAAATGGAATGAATTGTGATGACTTCTTTATTAATTCATTTTCTTATTATTGCATTTTCAAACAATAATATGTTCAAATTGATACTGAAATAAAACCAGTGAGTTAGAATCATTCAATTTATCCAGAAGGAAATCCTCTTTAGTTAATTGTTTCTTGTTTCTCAGAAATGATGGCCTAATCAATTTCAAGATATTTCTTCACATCCCTTGTCAGCATGCCCTTATCCACCATGATTTCATCATTAGGTTCAGACTTCCCAATAACATTTTCTTTATTAAAAAATGCTTTATCAGTAGTTCAACCTCCATATCCTTATTAATGCCAACAGTAATCAGTCCTAATGGAGTGGTATTGCAATAAGAATTTGACTGAGTTTCTGTAATGTGTCTGTACAACAGGAGCACTGAGGAACATATCTTTCTAGATTTCTGTCTTCAGTCTTTTGAACAATCTCTTATCTAATCTCTTGGACACAAAAACATATTGGAAAACTTCAAAATTTATCAATATTCACTTGATTGCACAAAACTAAATTTGTTTGTTTTGTTTTTCACCTCCCGCCATTTTCATTTTGCCGTTCGACAAAAGACGATGGGGAAACAGTGACGTCAGGGCAGGTCAATATGAGGCAACCTTATAGAGTTGAATAGCCTTGCTCATGATGTACTTCAATGACACATTTTTATACAGAAAATTCAACAGGAAATATGATTTTTATGGTGAGTTTTTCCTATTTAGTGAGCAAGCATACCAGATGACGGCCATTTTATCCATAGGCAATCCAAATACGAGATGTCAAATGTCAATAGATTGCTTTGGAATGACATTACACACGCCATTATTTCAAATGATATTCTTCCTTCTTTTCAATAAATATGGATAAATCACAAGAAAATCATATTTCTAGTTGACTCAATAATAGAAAAAAATGTGTCTTACATTGTGATATATATAAATTGTCCAATGATGAAAAAAGAAGGGTGAATTGTTTAAAATTCAATCCAGAAGACAGGCGGAAAAGAAGGTGAAATTTGAAACTTTATAGTGAAATATCTTGATAAATAATGGTTTGTTCACATTTTCATTATCAAATTCGTGTTTTTCAGACAAAAATACGTAAGTACCAAAAAAAATTTTCGAAAAAAAACCCATCGCATGCTAAATGCAGTTTTAC